ATACAATTCTGGTCCTTATTATATAAAGCTAAGCTTTTCTCAATTATTACTACAATCTTAACAGCTTTATGCAATTTAGTAGTCAATATTTTTACTGATTCTCAATTAGTAATTTCTAAATTTAACAATCTTTAATTTTATTTAAATCACCTTAATAAGCTATTCAAATTCAACTTATAGCCTATTTGGCATACTCATTCTAATATTATTAAATTACATAAATTATAAATTATCTTTCACAAAGTACAAGCTCATTCAGATAATAATCTTAATAAGCAAACATACTCTCTTGTCAAACAATATTCATCATCACTACTTCTTTTATTTAATTATACAAACCTTTATAATTCTTCAATAGGAGCACGTTATATAGAACTTCCTACAAGATATTTTATTAAGCAAATATGTAAAGCCCACATATTAGCTATATGGATATCTTAAAAACCTAATAGTAAGTAGTCATACTTTAATCAAAATATTGACTGGAAATTCACTTGGCTTTATTTTAATCATAATCAAAAACCTTATACAATATTACTAATTTTAGATTCAATCAACTAAAATTCTTTAAAATTAAAAACCTTTTTAATGAGTTACTAATATACCAACTATTTTATACTATTTACCAAAACCAATATCCAGATACTAATTGCTTTTACTGTAACTTAGCTAACTCTTACTCTCACTAGTGTACTTGTACTAATATACTTTTGTTTAATCAAATTATTTAAACATCTACAAATCAAATCATTTTTAGCAAATTACCTAATCTTGATACTTACCAGAAAAACAATTTAATTTATAAAATTCTTCATCATCCAGCTTTCAATTTCTTATATATCTTATTTAACACATTTTATCCTAACCTTTTTCTCAAAGAACTTATTCCAAAGTTACTTATATCAACAGTTTAAAACTCTGACATATCATACAAAACTGCCTTCCAAGTTATTATCGATATTCTTCTCAATATTAATGAATAATCATATAAACAATTATAAAAAACATATTGCATTCATTTCTTTAACTGGAAAAAACAACAAAATAAACTTCAATCTCAACTAATTAACAAACCTTCAATATTATCTAATTCAGCAACTAGGCATATATATTTTTATAAAAACTATACTTACTTATGCCTCTGCAAACTTTAAGATCAATTATATATTTATTCTAAAATATGCTCTTCTATTAGCCAAGTAATTTGCAAAATTAACATTTGGTCTATTCTATAGATCAAATATAGCATATTATTAAATTATATACTAAACATTCAAATCTAGGTAAGCTTTGACCAATCTAGTAGGTTTAGATCACAGATAAATTAGTCTGAGCTTTTATTCTTGTATGTAATTTTCAATTTATTTGACTTGTACAAATAGTAGTAACTGTATAGTTAGCAGTTTAATGGTTAGTCCTAACTGCAAGTATTGGCTTTAGTCATAGTATATATATATGTAACTATTTTAAATTATTAATAAAGATATAAGCAAGACCTCACCTTAATACCAAAAAAAAATTTTTTATTAAGAAAAATAAATAAAGTTAAAATATTAAACAATATTTATTTAAATTTAAGTAAAATATATATAAAATTTTAAATATTAAATTTTTATATATAGGTTTGATTACATAGTATATTTTGCATCTAACTTAATATCTCTATTATTATATATAAAAACTTTAATTTTACTAATTAAAAATTAATGTTATTTCTTTTTAAAAAAAACAAATTTTAGGTTCTCTTATAATACTAATAAACAATAATAATTACTATTAAAAATTTAAATACTATTAATAATTAATAATCTTACAAAACATTATATTTATATGAATATTTATTTATTATATAAAGGATTTAATTTACTAATTTATATTCAAGCATTTGTGCATTAGAAATTATTTATTTTTTTTAGAAAACTCAAATTTCAGATTCTGTTATAATAATAAATAATAACTGATTACTCTTTTCCTATTAAAAAATAATTTTGAAGTATTAAAATAATAAAGTTTAATTTAATATAAGTGCTACTAAAGAAGAAGCTACAGTCTTTTAATTATATTTTATCTTAGAACAATCTAATTTATTAGAGATGGTTTCTAGTATAAAGTATAATTAAAAGTCTAAAATGTCTTTTCTTTTTATATTTATATTATGTAGAAATAATTTATTATATAATAAATAGGATATACACTCTTCTTGATGATCACTTAAACCAAACCAACACCAAAACAGTTTGAAGAATTATGCTTTTAAGATAATGATATCTTTAATTCTGTTTAGATATTTAAAGCAGATTGTTGCTAACGAACTAGAAGTATGTAAAAAAACCAAGGTGCAGGTGACTCTTCTGGTGGTTTGTGTTAAGGTCAAGCCTTGTCTGTTAGTGGACTCTCCAACATATATAGTATCCAAACCAGAAGGACATTCTGAAAACAATAGAGAAAAACTCTGGTTAAAAGTTATCAAAAGCTTAAAAACAAACAAACAACTAGAAACACTCTCTTTGGTTTGACTTTTCACATATCACATCTGTTGACCTTTTCTATATATTTCATTTTTCTTACTCAAAAGTAGGGAAATTGGCTCCCCTTTTACAAAAGATCAGCATTGTTTATCACTTCCTTTTTCAGACAGTTTCGTGTTGTGACATAATATAATAGGAATACAACAATCATGTGTACAGCCTAATATATAGTGTAATGAAGAAATAAAGAAGAATTTAAGTTGGAGGATTATAACAAATTAGAGATATATAGTAATTTCTAAAATTATATATATATAATTTTACCCCTTTAGCACAGATTAAAGTGTAGTTAGATCCTTAGCACAGGTTTAAAGTGCTAGTGTCCTAAATGGTCACAAACAAGATATGCTCACTAACACTTTTTTTTTTTTTTTTTTTCTTCCTGTATCTCTTTTTAGTTTAGTTTAGTTTAGTGTTTTTTTTTTCTTCTTTTACTTTCCTACAAGAAAGTACTATCAGATTGGTAATACTCTATTGTAAGGCAGTAGTCAGATGAGCCCTCCAGATTTCCTTTTTTCATTAGAAATTAGGCAACTAGTGTGGCAGATCGCTTGTAAGTGCTCATAGAAGTAACTGCAGAATGTTGACTCAGCACATTAAGTCTAAAAATGTTTGTTAGTATATAAACAGGAATCTTAATAAAGAGTATTGGCAAAACTGCCAAAGTGAAAAAAAAAGAAAAAAAATAGTTTATTATATAGTTATAATTAATCATTATTTATATTTAAGCAAAAATTTGGTTTTTAAAATTTTTTTTTTCAAATATCTAAAATGTCTAATAAAACTTGTCTTTAATAATATTAGTAAACTTAATACACTATTTCTAATTTAGATAATGCTTCTAAAGTAGAATAGTATATTTGTAAAGCTCAATTGATTAAAATTAAAGAAAAAAAAAAAACACAAAAACCAAAAATTGATTTAGTTGTTAGTAAATAATATATAAATATTCCTATTGTAAAGATTTTGAATATAGATCTATCATTAGTTAAAAAATGCAAACTAATCTTATAAATTTAAATAAATAATTTTATATAATAATAGTATTTTTTTCTAATAGAAATATCTTTGTAACTTGCAGCAAAATAGCATTTATTCAAAAAAAGTAGCATTAAATACATTTTAAAAGAAATTCAAAAAGCATAGTTTAGAGAAACTACTAATGAATCTTTAGATTTTTTCAATATGACCAATAATTGAATTTTTTATGAAATGCTTAGACAAACAATAAATTCAAAAAGTATTATTATTATTATTGATATAATAAAGATAATTTATTAATTATATATATTAATTTAAGTTAATTATTTTAGAAATAAGTCTAAATAACTAGCATATACTATACAGAAACAATCAAACAAACATATACAGAACTTTATTTCTAAAAATATTAATATTAATATTGTTAGTATTTATTTTTTTAGTTTGAAGTAGCAATCTTGCCTACATGTCTTTTATTAAATAATATATAATTACATGTAATATACATAGTCTATCAATAAAAGTACAACTAGTCACACATATAACTTTAGTTATTATCTAATTAAGAGTTCTGCCTATAGGTTACCTATTAGATACCATACCTGAGACCAACCTGTAAGTCTTTTATTTAAACTTTCTGATTTTCAATACTATTTTTGTATATATATGCAATACTTACATTACTGTTGTAGTAACATTTGGGTTAGAGCTATCTAATTTTTATATATATCTAAGTATCAATTTATTGAATATTACTAAGTATCCTTAGTCCTTTGAATTTATTCTTAATGCAGACTTATTAAGTATGGTACCAAGATTATCTCTTAGATTTATCCAATTTAGTATATCTCATATTTATTAAACTGGTTTTGATGCCAGAGGTATTTGATTTCCAGTAAGTTTATTCCTTTCTCATAGTTTCTTTTTATGTTTACTGTATCATCTACTAGTATGTCTTCTCTCTATTTCTGATATGTTCACTACTTCTTTCACATCCAGCATCATCTTTCCATATTGGAAAACTTCTTTCTAGAAACTTTTTTATATACAAATCTTCTATTCATATGGACTTAAGCCACAGAACTTTATATACATTTATATGCTTTCATAGATTACAGAGTTTTGTCTTTAGCTAGAATTGAATCATTGATCTTGTTTGTGAAGAGAGAGGCACCTAGACTACTAGGCTACAGGACCTCATCCCTATTGGTAATATTTATTATTATTATTTATATTGAAATATAAAAGATAAATCATATATTAATATCAAATTAACAATAAACAATGTATTTTATCAAAAAATAAATGATATACCAAATCAAAAAATAGATAATATATCTGATCAAAAAATAAATGATACACCCAATCAAGAAGTTAATATATCAGTTTAAGAAATATATAATCTATAAAATAAAAATCCTATTGATGAATTACAAGAAATTCAAGAAATTAATAATATAGAAACTAATAATAATGAAATATATGAAGACTTCAATAAAGGTTTAGAATATAATAAAGAAAATTAAAAATCTAAAAAAGCTAAACAAATATTTTATTAAATAATAAATTAAATATTTTAGCATTTATATATATATTATTTAACAATAAATCTAATATATCTATATATTTATTTTTTATTCTTTAACAGTCTTGTAGAAGCTCAATTACAAAATTTTACTAATTAAAACATTAACTATTTTTAGCAATTTATCTTTTGAAATTGCAAGCCTAGCATCATTTGAGTATAGAAACTGTACTTAAATATGACTTGTTATACCAATTTATGCCTAAATTGAAAGACTTTGTTAGCTCTGTTAATAACTGAACCAGAATGGATTAATTCTATTTTGTACTATTCTGTTAATACCTTCTTTGAACAACCACATATTCTATATTTCTCTTTTTTTCTTTTTATTTACATTAATCTTATTTAGTACACCTTTTTTGTCTTCTCTTATACTTTTAATTTTCTTTGTATTACAATTTTTATTTTCAGTTCTTTTAACTTTGCACCACTTTGTTTTTTTGTTATTATATTTTTATCTTCTTATTTGGCTACAGTTTAACATTTTTTTTGTCATACTTTTTCTCTAAACATTTTTTCTACAATCTTGATATATAGTTTTACAGAATATTTTGCATTTTTTCATGAGACTTAACTTGTATACAATTCTTTAAACATACTTTCTGTTGATAAACTAGTACACATGACTCTCAGTTTTTAATCCTATATATATTAGTTTCACCAACTATTATTTTGCTTAAGCATGTTTTATTAGCTTGCTTTATCTGATTTATCAAGCTTTTTTCATACTAACCAACATGCTAATTCTTCAATATTATTCCAATATCCATTGTACTCTTTACATTTATGCAAATGGCTAATGTTTCTCAATCTGTATAACATTCTTTACATTCATCTAATTCATATAAGTCTAATGCTCTTCTCTTTAGCATATCAAAAACTAGTAAACTATTATTTATATACTTAAGAATAGAGTGTATATAGATTATTTTTATATAGTTTTGAATGTTTTTTTAAAATTTTCATCTAAAATTAATATATATTATTAATAAAACTTTTTTATTTTTTAATTAATCAAGAAAAAATTTTATTATATTATAAATAAAATTATTTATTTATTATATTAAAAATTTAAACTATTGTATTATTTTAAAAATATACTTGTATATATGATAAAGTTTTCTTAGACTGGTTAAAAATTTCTTAGGTAATACAAAATTAAATAATTTGATTGGTTAATTTATATAAACTTATAAGTTAATTTTATTATATAATTTTATATACTAATGTTTAAAAATTCATATTCTAATAAGTTTTTAACTAATTTTAATAATTTTATTATCATTAAAATCAGAAAAACCTATTTTACAACTTTTATTTAATAATTTAAATTAGTTTACTTAATATAAATTTTTATAAATTTAAATATAAAAAAGAATTACTATTAAGTTTATATATAATTTTAATATAGTACATTCGAGTGCATCTATGTATCCCCTATCCAATTTGGATTTGTCAATAATCAATGCCTAATTAGAATAACATATTTGTGTATTATCAATATCAAAAAAAAATATCATCATATAACAATAATTATTGTTGTCATTATTATAACTATATACTAAGTTACCAAATAATTAATGATACTTGTCTTATTAAGTTTAGTTTAAAAAAAGATAGATATTCAGTTTTGGGCTAGACCAGAGAAAAGGCACTTACAAGTGAAACTATTTATCAAGACTAAAATTTTAAATCACTTTTTAGTCGAAGTGTTTAAAGATTTAATCAGAAGTTATGCAATTATATACTACATTAATCAAATAAATATTATGTATTCTTTCTTTTTTTTATTACTATTATTTCTGTTCAAAAAAATGCTATCAAGATCTAATGTGATCTTCAGAAGTTTAGGTTTTAGTGTCATAAAATTTAATCAATTTAATAATGATAGAAAGAAGTTCATGCTTTATGACAAATCTTTTTGCATTTTGAAATATTGGTCTTCATTACTTTATTTAAAGTTAAGTAGTTTTATTTTATGCTTTATATATAATATGCAAAAATTTAATAAAATTAAAAATACTAATAAACCTTTTTTTCACTATGGATTTGGGTAATTACTTTAAATTGACATATTTGGTTTTCATTTTTACTTTTAAACTTTGACTGTTATAATAAATATAAATATTAATAATTGTAAAGATATTTTTAATTTAGAACTCTCCAAATTACTAAAAAAATATTTAATTTATAAAATTTCACTAGGCAATTGTGTATAATTTTTATTTATATAGTAGTTTTTAAGCTTTATATAATTAATTCAATTTTTTTTTTATAGTGAAGCTGATGATACACAATTCTTTGTGTTATGAATGTTATAGATCATTTCTATAGTAAGAAAAATAAAAGGCTAGATGCATATTTTAATGCATTTGTTTTTTTACATTATAATTTGTTCTTTTTACATTATGATTAGGAAGTTAAAAATCATAATATAAAGAAATATTAGCTTTTCTTTTCATTCCTGTCTTCACGATTGCCTCTATGTCAGTTTCAGTTATTTGGTTTTAGTCTTCTTGAGTATGCTGATCCCAAACTTTTTTAAGTGCCTTGACCCAATTGTTAAAAGTTATATCATAAACCTTCTTAGGTTCTTTTTCTACTTGATTGGATGCACTATATGTAATTTGCCTTAGATAATATCTTTGATACATGGCAAAAATATGTTTACATGCCATTCCATGAAACTTGAAGTTTACACATGTGCATTCAAAATGTGCTAGTTTTATATTATTATTTTGTTGCACTAAATTCTGATACTAACCTCATAATAGTTATCTTTTGATAATTTAACTAGGTAGTATTTTTCACTAGGAAATTTGAAAACCTCTAGATCTAAACTAGCAAGCTCACATTGCTACTGTTCTCTTTGATGAGGCTTTATCCTTCCAATTATCAAATGAACAGCTTCACATTTGAACTCTGCATCTTTCAGAGCATTTTGCAAAGTCCATATTAAGGTATCAATTCAGTTATTTTGCTTGGCACCAAAGTAAGTATATTTTAATTTTTTATGCCAAGTTTTGATAAAATTTGTTGTATTTATTTCTTGATGCTCATATAGGCAGTATGCATCAATCCATCTTTTGCAATTATTTTGATATTTTTTTCGAATATAATCTACTCATTTGATTTTATTTAATCCCACATACTGAACTAAATATTCATTAAATTTATTTTTTATTCATGAATATTATGAATTCGCATAATGGTATTAAGCTCATCCAGCACTGCTTTTTGTGCTATCTGCTTGACTAATCATTTAAAAACATTACTATTCTTTTTATTTTTATCTTGAGTCTTAAAATATTTATCATTTTTATTAATTTTATTTTTATTTTTTTGTCAGGCATTTTTAAGATGCCATTGGCATAACAGAATTATGGCATCAGGATATACTACATTAATGGCATTTTGCTATGTGTCATCATAATCAGTAAGGAAATTGTGATGTTTTCAATTTTCATTTTGTTTTTTAATAGCCTCAAGCCAACAAATTAATGTTTTCTTCACTTTCTTTTTTGATATTAAATGGGCCACAGGTATTTCTTGTCCATTATTATCATTTCTAACAAGCAAGATAAAAAGATTTGTTTTATGCATAGTTGTTCCATGAGTGCCATCAATGCAAACAGTCTGCATGCTCTTTAATTCTAGCAATTTTTTTTAGAACTCTGTTTGAAAAACAAACATGAATCCTAAAGATGAACTCTAGCTTAGATTGTTGCATATGTGAGATCCATCTTCTTTTGATGAGGAAATCTATTTTTTGATGGATGTATCCTCACTGTAATCTTTTTTTTATTTCTTAAAAAAATTATGTCTCTCATCTCCTCATTAACAATATTATATACATCAATGTAGGAGATATATAGATCTTTTTTTGCATTAAGGATAAGGATTCTAGGTCTTCTGTGTTATGAATCTGATTTACACACTAATAGAACAATAATATAATTTAGGAGGACTTCATTTCATCTTTTGCCTTTTCATGAATCTATTCCCTTGTTTGTTGAGATATATTGAAATAGCATAAATCCTCTAAAGCACCAGGATTATGCCTATTATGTAATGTATAGTAAATTATATGAACACTAGTATCTTCTTCACTATAACATTTTAATACTCAGATATAAGATTTGCAGCCTGTTTTTTTGATAGTTTTTGAATTAGGCAGGGGTGGCTACAATTAGATGAAGGTTTAGTAGCTTGTTTCATTATACCAGCCATTGATCTTGGCTTTCTATAGCAGTGACAAGCATATCTTTTATTTAACTTATATTCTAAATTCACATTATTATCTTTATAGATATAATTGGTGCTTGCGATATTTGGAAGGATATTTTTGATCTAGTCTTTATATGTTTCCAGCTTAAGAGGAGTATAAATTTTAACATATTCATTTATATCCATTTTTTGTAGTTTAGACTTAGTTTTAGGTTCTTCTGTCACTTCTATTTCAGATCCAAATTCTTCTGATAATTCTGAATCTGATTTTTCATAAGCACTAGGCATACATTCAGATTCTTGCAATTCAGGTTCTTGCAACCCAGATCCAAAGTTCATTTGCAATTCAAATCCAGAGTTATTATTATTGGATGAAGACATTCTGGATTTGGCATGCTTAACAACATTGTCTATTAAACCAGTTAAATCCAAATTTGTGAGTATGCTTTGATTGTCTGTGTTCAGTTTTCGTAATTGAGACTTATTAACTTTGGACATTTTTTTTTGCTTTTATGATAGAATTTTATAGTTTCAAATTTATAAAAATAATATGATTAGTCTTTAAAAATTTATTAAAATGTTGGCAAGATACTTATACAAGTAACAATGCAAGTGTCTTTATATATATTTTTTAATTATACATATTGAATATGAGATTCTAATTTTATTTTTTTTATTTTATAGCACATAGAAATTAGAGCAATTACAATGATAAGTTTTTCAATTTCAATAGTTTCATATTTTTTTTTGTTCCTGATTTGATATAGTTTGATATTTAATTACTTCTTTCTTTTTTTAATTAGGTAAAACACAACATTCTTTGAACAATTCCCTTTCAATAGGTTTTGTTATGTTACATATAATTAGAAGATATTATTTATAATATGCCAATTCTTACTAACAGGGGTTATGTTGTAAACACTAAATATATTTTTCTTACAATGCATAATTTTGGCAATTATCATGATAAAAATTTTTTGAGATTTATTCTAATTCAACTTAGTTTACTATTTTATTGTCTTATATTTTTTTCAATCAGATAAAACATGTAATGTTCTTTGATATTTCTTATTGCGAAGTTTTGTTATGCTGAGTTTTTTTACTAATATTTCCTTCTGTGGCTAGGATATTTTTGACTTTGTAATAAGTTGCAAGATCTGTACAATTATTAATAATTAACAGCATTTGTTAGAGTTACTAAATAGTTATTTGTTAAATAAAATTATATCATATTTATATTTGTACATAATCAATCAATGCTTATTTATATGCACATAATAATATTAATTAATTTTTTATTACTTATAGCATAAGATTTTATCACAATTCAGAGTTCTGCTTGAATTTGTCATATAATTTTTCTGTAATCTATAAAATTAAAATCAAATCTGCATTGCTTTGTACTAATTAAGTAGTTTGAGTGATAATACATTTATTCTATGCTTTAATAGTTAAGAATTATTGAGTGAAACATTAAGTCCAATTGCTAATTATCTTTTCACAATTATGATTCTTTACTATCATGACGACGTACTTGAAAATTTTATAATTTGGAAATTGCACAACTATATTGACACAGTATGATCAAATGTTAACCTTATGATTAGTGTTAAAGTATTAGAAAATAGCAAAATCAGATTACATATTGCTTTGTCAGTATCAATTTCCAATATATTTATAGTGTAGACATGCCTTAAGATTTTTATAAGTTGATTTTTACTTCAAGTACAAATTTTTTAGTTAAAAGCCTAAAACATTGGTGTACTGTTTTCTGTTTTTAAAAAATAAAAAAAAAAATACTTGATGTGTTTTTTCAAAATAGCTATTTTTTTTTTTTAAAAAAAAACTATTATATAGGTTTTTTTTGCGAATTTATAATTCTCAATGAGTAGCAATAAGTAGCAAATTTTATTTTGGAATTAATTGCATAATTCTTGAACCCAGTATCTTAGTAATATCATTTAATACATTTTCTGCTAATATGATTACTTAGATAATTTCATGCAAAGAGTTCAAATAAATGCTAGTAGAAAATATATCCACAACTTCAAATAAAGAAATATTTCTTAACTCTTATAAATGTTTATTATGCATTTAATTTGTATAGTAAATTAAGGGTTAATAATTTGAGAAAAAAAAAAGCTAATATAGTAATAATCAAAATTTAGTGAAGCTCTAGAATATAAATATTCTGTTTAGTATTTAATTTGTGTATATTTACATATTAATTATAAAATTAATTATTAAAGTTTCGCTAAATAACTTTAAATTTAGATCATTAAATTAGATATTACATGAACATGCTATCCTAATTAGGCATTGATCATCACACAAATCCAAATTAGATGAGAGGTATATAGATGTACCCTAGTACACTCTATTCTTAATTCCAAATAAAATTTCTTGTCCTCCTTTAGTGATTTATATTTGATCTCTGTTAAGCTTTTGCTTTCTTTCCACAATGTTTTTTAATCTTCTTATATTACAGATTTTGGCTTGAGCTTTTTAATTGCACTTGAGTATTGCTATTCATCACCATTCATTATGTTCATTAATGTCTTAATAAATTTTTTTGTAAGTACTTCTACATCTGACTCTTTCTAGTACAATGCACATGGGAACTAACCATTCTTTTTAAATTTCAAATCTAAGTATTCACTTAGCAGTATACACTTTTTCACAAGTTTGTTAGCTCTTTTATTCTATACTATTCTACTATATGCTTTAATCTTAATCAATACTAACTCAATGTTTTTTGACTTGCATATATCTTTAATTTTCATCACTAATCTAAAATTTTTACTCTTGCTCTATGCTCTAATATTGCATAAATGTTCCTTCCTTTTTAGACTTGCAATCACTATAGTACTATCTAACTTAATTACTACTCTTCTATATAAGTTATAACTAAAACTATTATTAAAACTGCAGCTAGCTCTGCTTTTGTTGATAATAACTATTTTTCTAATCAAATTATTTTTTCTATTATAATTTCATTTTCATTTTTGCTAATCTGCACTTAATCTGCACCTATTCTATATTCAACTTTTTTACTAATAACCCATTTATATAAAACTTGTACTCTATACCTTCTACTATAATGTTTTTTTCTAACTCTCTATTAGTAAAATTTTTTAGACTATTATTAAATTCTTGTATTTTTACTGAACTAATTTTATGTGTTTAAACTATTATGCTTCTATCTATAATTTTTTCATTGTTTATAATATTCTTCTCTGCACAATTCTTCTTGTATTCTTTTATTTCTTCAAGTAGAATTAGAATTTTCTCTTTATGCTCATATATTATTTTTGGCAATACACCTATAACTATACTCTTTCTAATCTAATACTAACTACTACTTGCACTATTTCTATTGTCTATGTTGTATTTATTATATTCTACAAGTACTAAGCAACTTTCTTTCTTACCTCAAAACATGTTCTAATAATTTATTAACATATTTTTCTTTTTTTTTAATTACTTTGACTATTATTAGTTCTGTGTTTTCTTTGTTTACTAGTATTCATTCTTGCTTTTTTTTTGTTTTGTGATAATTTTTTAGTTACAGTCTTCATTATCATTATGTTTATTCCTTGTATTTGGAACTCATTTTAGACTTTTTTACCCATTTGAATACTTAATATTTTCTGTTCAATTTCAATAAACTATTTTACTTTTTATTCTTTTTGTGTATTTGTTTGTAATGTTCTAAACTTTTTTTATATAATTAATCTTTCTCTTCTTAATCAATTAGCTATTTTACAAAAAACAGCCTGTACTTCATTATTCTACTACACATATTCTAAATGTTTTATTTTCTACTAAATTATGTATTGTTTTGCCTGTACCAAAAACTTGCCAATAGACACCTTTTGCTCTTATTGTTACCCCTATTTTACTTGTCTTTAGCAATACTAAACATGTTAGATTTCTCTTTCAGATCTTCTTCAAACTACTTGTATTTGTTGTATTTAAATCTTCTGATATTAAACCTGCTAAAGCATAACCTTGTTTCATCTGTATTCTTGTCATTTCTCTAACTTAGTCCAATTTGTTTAGTCTTCTTTATATAAAGACCAACTGATTGTTAAATACTTATTGGCTTAGTATTTGCATCTTTCTAAACCTTAATGTGCAATTATGCTATTTTTTGCAGTTGCTCACAAACTTATTTTGTTTTTAACCAATCTAATTACTAGCTGATGCAAGCGATTTAGACACTCTTTGTTGTCTACAATATGTGTATTAGTTTTGGTATTATATATATATTATTAATATATATCAGCTGTCTAATAGTTAATTTTTTGAATTACAAGTTTTACATGAATTGTTGTATGATATTCTTTGTCTTTTTAACAACTAATCTTTTATTTGTTTTTATACTTAACCATACTTCTAGCATTCTTGTTAATGAAAACTTTTCTTAATATGCAATTAAAAGTTATCTATTAATACATATCTTTCTTCTTTTCTTATACAAATTTTGATTACCAACAGTTTTACCTTAGCACTATTAATCTGAATATTATTAAACTTAAAGAACCTTTATAAAATCTCTACAATTGTCTGCATCTTCTCCTTGCTTTTTGCAATCTACATTGTATTGTTTGCATAAGCAACTGTAACTTGTCTCATTCTTCTTACATTAACTTTATTCATTTGTAAATCTACTACATCATATACTTTAATCTTGTATCCTAAACTTGACTTATCTTGAATTTTTTTTAACAATAAATTATAAAATATTCTCTGAACTAATAATAAAATTGTTTCTTCTTGTTCGATTTTGTTACCAGCAACAAACATTTTTATAACTCTAAACTCTATTATAAAGCTGACTTCTCTTCTGTCATAAAGCTCTAATATGAACTTTATTGTTTCTTTTAGCAACTTAATTCTTTGTAATACCAAGCAAGTAACTTTATTGATACTGAATTGTATGCCTTCTTCATGTTTTGTATTAATACTTACAACTTTTTGTTACTTTCTTTACATCTTTTTTATCATTTCTATTATATAAATTGCTTCTTCTGTTAAAATTTATAATAAGACAGCAAAGCTTAGATCATTGAGTATTTATTTTCCTGTTATTATTTTTGTCATAGCTGTCTTGATCTCTGGATTTCACTTTTGAACTAAGAAGACAGTGCTGCTCTAAGAAATATATATAAGTTTTTTTATGCTTCTCTTTTCTTATTTGGATCAAAAGATGCTACTTTTTATTTTCTTATCACTGCACTTTTCTTATTACTGCACTTTTATATTCTTATTTTGACTATTTTATTATATCAAAATTTATTATATGATCTTAGACTTTCTTAATTAACTATATAATTCATAAACTGTGCAATATTTTACTTTCTTAATTACATATTTATTATGCAGTTTAATTGATTCTTAATTTATCCTTGATTATACTATAATTGCTCTGACTAATCCTGGTTAATTAATTGCCTAGGGACCAATCACTTACCCACATGATTACAAAACTGTAT